GTCCACTCAACTCATTGCTTGTTCTGATTAAATATGGGTTGCAGTTGGTCAGCCAGCTAGCAGAGTTACAAGCTCTGCTGAGGACTTTAGCCCTCCTGGAGCCCTAAAGATCATCCTGCTGGTCTCATTCCTTTGGGCCTTCACTGTGTGTCTGTTTGGGTGTTGGAAGTAGAGGCACAGACCTAAACATTAACCCAAGAACAATAGGCAAAGTTTCAGAACATACAGATTCTCCCTGCTTTTTTGATAAGAAACCCATTGTCCTATTTTAACTATAACAGTAGCCCATGAGTACATGGATTAAGATATCTGTTTTTGAGACCAGCGAGTCATTACAGCTCTTTATTGTGGTGCTCAGAACTTGGATCTGGTTCCCATCCTGCAGACCTGAAGACCTTCCATAGTGACAGAAAACACGGATGCACAAAGTCTGACGCAGTTCACCCTAAGCAAGGGTCACCAGGCTTAGCTACAACATTTACGTTGTCACTGTGATCCTGGAGGCACACGACACCAAACGTTTCCCAGAGGAGTACCGGACAGTGAGTTAGAGCAGCACAAAGATGCTGCTGAAAGACAGTGCACGCCGGGACACATGGCCAGGCCACCAGGGCTGAGATCCCGACTCTCAGGCCACAGTCAGCACAGCGGGAGACCCTGGCATGCTTTGCATACTGAGGCTGGGCTCACTCTTGAAAGAAGGAAGGAAAAGGGACCAGAAATGGATCTGGTAAGATAATGGTGACTAACAAAGTGAGGCCGAGTGAGAAATCAGGGAAACAGTACCTCCACGACAGCATCCAAAAAATGAAACACCTAGGAATCAACCTAACAAAGGATGTGAAAGGCCTCTACATTGAAAACTACGCACTCTGAAAAAGGAGATTAAAAAGCTACTATGATAGAATCAGAATGGTAAGGGCAAAAAACAAAACAAAAACAGTCCTGAGGATCAGTGGAACAGATTAGAAGATGCAGACACAACTCCAAACACACTCAGCCACCTTAGGCTTGACAAAGGGGCCACACATGTTTACCGGAAGAAAGGTAGCCTCTCTAATACATGGTTCTGGAAAAACTGGCTCTCCAAAGACTAAAACTAGACCCACACCCATGCCTATCACCACAATGCACTAAACCAAAATCAAAATGGTCAAAGATCTAAATACTAAAACAGAAACACTAAATCTACTGAACAAGAAAGTAGGTAAAAATCTTGAAGACAGGAGTAGGCAGAGAGTTCATGAATAAGACAAACTTTAGGAAGTACTTTACAAAATCAACAACTGGGATCACATCTTCTTAAGAAGTTTTTTCAGATCAAAAGAAATCACCAACAGAGTAAAAACCCACAGAATGGGGAAAAAAATTTAGCCAGCTGTCCCTCAGACAAAGGACTTCTACCTAGAACATATAAAGAATTGAAGGTGTCAGATCTCTAACCCTAACCCTAACCCTAACCCTAACCCTAACCCTAACCCTAACCCTAACCCTAACTCACTGTCCGGTACTCCTCTGGGAAACGTTTGGTGTCGTGTGCCTCCAGGATCACAGTGACAACGTAAATGTTGTAGCTAAGCCTGGTGACCCTTGCTTAGGGTGAACTGCGTCAGACTTTGTGCATCCGTGTTTTCTGTCACTATGGAAGGTCTTCAGGTCTGCAGGATGGGAACCAGATCCAAGTTCTGAGCACCACAATAAAGAGCTGTAATGACTCGCTGGTCTCAAAAACAGATATCTTAATCCATGTACTCATGGGCTACTGTTATAGTTAAAATAGGACAATGGGTTTCTTATCAAAAAAGCAGGGAGAATCTGTATGTTCTGAAACTTTGCCTATTGTTCTTGGGTTAATGTTTAGGTCTGTGCCTCTACTTCCAACACCCAAACAGACACACAGTGAAGGCCCAAAGGAATGAGACCAGCAGGATGATCTTTAGGGCTCCAGGAGGGCTAAAGTCCTCAGCAGAGCTTGTAACTCTGCTAGCTGGCTGACCAACTGCAACCCATATTTAATCAGAACAAGCAATGAGTTGAGTGGACAGCAGAGGAAACCTGAGCAGGTTCTTGGGAGGGGTTCAAGGACCCCTCAGAGCAACAGATGATTCTAATTAAAGAAAACTGTCCAGAAAGTCTCCAGGTTCCCCAAGCTGTGGCCTATCATGCCTGGGCCATGCCACAGCCCCGCATGTGTGTTCGGCTCCAACAGCTCCAACAGCTTGTTATAGTGAAAGATGTATATGTAACAAAGTAATTTCAAAGTTTTTAAATATTTTATATTTATGGGGTGCACTGTGACATTCTGATACATGTATGCACAGCAGGGTTAAGTCAGGATAGTTAACACACCTCCCAAGTTACGTTCTTAGTCATGTACGGTGGAAAACTCAGTGATTTTAACCCACACAACGCACTGATCGTGCCAAGCTGGGATCCGAGCAGACTCACACCTGTCAGGCCAGCAGTGCTCCTCTTGGGAACTGAACTCAGCATCATTTCTGAATTCTGAAACCTCACTTAGAATTGTGCTTCACATTTTGAGATCCTCTTCTTCTGAGGGTGGTGATGCATTTCCTTCGTTGATGTTACTGTACACAACGTGCTGGAAATGAACAGCTTCATCTAGATGAGTCATAATCACGCCAGTCTGATGGTGTCTCCTGTTGGATAATGTATCCGGGAGAGAGTAATTAAAGCTGATTTTATTCAGAATGGAGTGGTAGATAACCTGGATGTTTAGGGTACTAACCCCTCAAAATCATGTCTGAGAATGCTTGAAAATCAGCCTTCGTGGGAAAATAAGAACAGTGTTGGAATCGCCCCTGTGTGTGTGATAGCTCACTGCAGTTTCCTTTGAAAGTCACATCTCTAAGGAGTGGGGTGGGGCGTGCTTTTCCCCTCACCTCCGAAGACAGCTGGCCTGGAACCCGATCAGGAGAGGGTGGTGCACTGAGGCTCCTGCCTTTCACCTCCAACTGATGCCAGACTGAATGCAGGAGAAGCTGACGACCCAGAGTGCAGCCCAAACCAACTGGAACCAGCGGACCAAACCCCAAGCCCCAGCCCAGATTAGCCCAGTGAGAAGAAGGAGCCCGAGAGGCCATGGCCCAGGGGAAGCACAGGACATGCCCAGGAGGAAGGTGACGGGAGTGAAAGATCACCGCTGCGGCTCCATGGGGACCTGTGACAGCACGCCCCGGGGAGTGGGTCTGGGCCTTGCACCGCCCCTGGCCAGTTCCAGGAGACTGAAGCAGTCTGCTTCCCTTTGGGAGGGCAGCAAGCAGCACTGCATGGCGAATGTCACCATCAGTCCTCAGCCAGGTATCAGATTCAACAGTGAAGATTTTCCGGTCACACAAACTGTGAAAACCTCAGTGACACTGCCAGCTCCCGCCTGAGCACTCTGCACTCATCAGCGGCTGGCTTTTGGTTAGCTGCGTAATTACTAGCAGGTCTTTCAATTCATTCAAGTACCTGCAGGAAAAACTTTTGAGGCATTGAACACCTCAGACTAAATTCATTGCACTTTTCTCCTCCTCTAGTTAATGTTAACACTTAAATGTATCCAGGTGTTTTATTCTAGGGTCCACCTAAACCTGCCATAGTCTCTCCACGAAGCACAGCTTTTCCGAGAGTTTCCTCCTCTTGTATGCCTCCCTTGACCATCTCTGACCTCTGCTGTCCCACACATCAAAGGCACTGTAGACCCACTGGGCAGGAGGTACAGCTTCAAATCAGGCAGGAGACCCACAGAACCTCCTTTGCACTTGGTTAAATGGGTTCAGAAGGCAGGCATGGCGCTCCACGCCTGTCATCCCAGCCCTCTGGAGGCTGAGGCAGGAGGATCACTGTGAGTTCAAGACCAGCCTGGGTTACACAGTGAGACTCTGTCTCAATAAGGTCACAAACTGTGTGCTGGGAAAGTGCGACCCACAAATGACTCTCAGCTTTGTGGTCTCCATCTGTGGCAACTCCCGGCAGGCTCACCCCCACCCCATGCACTCAGGTCCGCTGCAGTCTCCGGACCCTCTCCCAGCCAGGCCCTGTATACCAGTGCCCCAGTGCCCGGTCCTCAGTGAGGGCCTCAACACTCAACGCACGCAGTATCTACAGCGAGGGAGCCCTGCACAATGCGGGCTCCGAGCATTATGCAAGAATCACATGCACTCAATCGGGGATGGCACAAAAGCATCCTCACTGCAGAGGGCACAGACACAGCCAGAGCCCAGCCGGGCTGTTCCCCAGGGGGCTCCTCCCCAGGGGGCTCCAAGCTTGTGCTGGTCTCCTCAGGGAGAACACAGACACTGGCCAGGATTTTCTAGAATGTTGCTTCCTACAGTTTGGTGGCTTCATGGCTCCTGGCCCTCAGCACCTTGAGGCAGGAGAGGACATGAGGTTGATGGCCCGTCACTCACAGGGCACAAGGCAGGCACCGGAGGGGCTCAGAGAGTGGCAGTTTGCAGGTCACGGCCCATCTCAGTAGGAGAAGAAACGAGGCTCTGTTCCCCCACAGGCCAGGTTTACTGGGTTTGACTGAAGTCTGAGAAGGAGCGAGGTGCTCAGGATTAAGCAAGGGGTGCGCGGTACCCAGCTCTCCACGGGTCACATCTCAGACCCCGGGGAACTAGAAGGAGCGCAGGCCCAACACTGGGGCCCAGCTGGGCAGAGGTCTCAGGGATGCATGGAAGAGCGGGGCTCAGCACCCCAGCTGCCCGCCAACTGGTACCCTGAAAACCTGGGGCCTGGAGCCTGCACCAGGGAGAGAACAGACAGGGCACCCTCCCCAACCCTGGGTCCACAGCAACAGTGGAGCCGCCCTCTCGGAGCCTGAGCACCACCCAGCTCCTCTGAGGGCCTGGGTCCCAGCATGCACCCCCGGGACCAGGCCCTGCGTGTTCTGGGCCCAGTGACACCACTTTGCGGTCGGGCACTCCGCACCTGTGTGACCAGAGGCCTCTGCCTCACTGCAGGAATAAAAAGCACGCACGGCTCATTAAGAGTATTGGCAAGGCTTCATGTTATATTTATTTATTTTCCAGCTTGTACAAACTGGATGTAGAAGCATAAACATAGTACATTTCTACCATCTTCAACAAAAATATAACCAATATGTACAATTATTGTATTAAAAATACAAACGGAATACAGACTCCACCAATGTCTTTCTAAAAGACATACAGGTACATGTAGTATCAAATGTATGAGAAAATCACCAATTAATTGTACATTCTGCACTTGACATCACTGAGTGAACTGAGATTAGCAGTCCTATGTTCTACAATTACTTAATGTTTAGGGAACATTTGTGCAACTTGCGGTAGAGCTAGATTCCTTTCTAATATGCACATGAGGTCCATAGCCTATATAATAAAACTGGCAAATAATGCATATTCCATGTAAAGTTAGAAATGTATAATTGACAATGTAATATATAAGGAAGTAGACAAATGCCATGAGACAGAGAATTATCAAATAAAGCACTGACATTGTCTGATACAGTGAAAAAACACTGCAATTGGACTTTTAAAATTTGATGCTATTTACATTTATCTACTGATCAGCATGATCAGCTGAATTCAATGGAAACCCAAGACCAGCAGCTCCAAACATCTGAGTACTCCTCAGACTGGCACCTTCACTTTCCGGAATCTCTGCAAAAACGACCCCAAATGGAGAGGGGAGTCCTCTGGAGTCCTTGGTCCTGCAGCAACTGTGAGCAGGCAGTTGCCTCCAGGAGGCGCCCCCACCAGGCGCTCACCCTCCTGGCCAAGGCAGCATCTCTGAGGCCCAGACACTGGGGTGGGGGGGGTGGTGGAGAGGCCCCTGGGGACAGGAAGCTCAGCTGGCATCAGTCCCAGGGCCAGTGCTGCACTCACTGCGAATGCTATCCAGTTACAAGCTATTCTTCAAAAAGACAACAAAACAAAAAAATCGGAAGCTCTAAAGTAACTAAAATCAAAGAAATATAACTTAAGGGGCTGCCACCTTGTCTCAGTGGAAGCAGGACACACTCCAGGTCCAAGGCCTGGCCAGAGGATGGCCTGCCGCCGTGGAGGAGGCAGGGGGCAGAGGCTGGACTGGAAGGGCCAGGCCTTCCATCCTCACCTGGCTGCGCCCCGACAGAACATTTGGGTTTTTAGAAGCCCAGGTGGCAACCTACATGAGGTTCAGAAATAATACTGCAATCATCAAAGGGCTATAACCTTGACTCTTGGAACTCATTTTCAAAAGGAACACTGTAAACAAGAGGACAAGCACTGCGCTCTAAGGGTCTCCAGTCCCTCTCCTGGGGGCTGGAGGTCCCAGGTCTCCGTGGCAGGCTCTGCTTATCATCCTGATGACACCGAGCTCTGGGGCTGAGCTAGGATCCAACAGGGAGGCCTTTCAAAGCCTTCCTTCCAGGCACAGAGAGCTCGCCCAGGGAGCGGCTCCGGTGGGCCCCAGCATGCGGGATCTGGAATGATGCTATGTGGGCAAGGCCCACTACACTGGGAGATAGCTGCTCTGTGCATTTCAAGCAACAAAGTCTGGAAAGTGCTGGTGAGGTGGTCTTCACAGTATTCACATGCAAAGGGGTAGGAGGAGCAGCCAACAGCCCACTGCAGGCAGTGAAGGTCCTCAGTAGCAGGGCAAGCTCTGCTCTGAGGCCCAAGTAGGATGCTGTCCTCTGTGCGCTCCTCTGCGTGGCTCGATGCCCGGGCCTGGGCCTCACAGGGCAGACACCTGCTCATCCTCTGTAGGGCGGCAGGGGAGGAAACAGAGAGGCCAGTGAGTGACCCACAGGCAAAGCTGGCTCCCCACAGCCCTGGGGCTTTTCCAGGCAGCCTTCAGCAATGAAAATGGCGCAAGATCACACACATACGCACGCACGCACACAGGCACGTATGCACGCATGCATCTTCCAAGAGCTACATCTGATAAAAAATATTTCTGTTTACATGGAAAGTGACTCCTGTTTAAATTCACGGAAGAAAGTTATAAAATGGCTGTGCCGATTTTTAATGACGCAGCCATACACATTAAAAACCACACACAGAGATGTTAGAAAAAGTTTATCGCTGCGCGCCAATCATGAATTCACTCTCACTTGTTATATTTGGCTTTTTCACATAATGACCATGTAAAGAAGAATGTTAAACTGAAAACTTAAAAAAAAGAAGGCTCTTGTTCTTCAACCTCAATCCAAACTCCGCAGGTAGATTTACACAAAGGCGGTGAAAGAGTTACAGAGAGGCTGGGTGTGCTGGGCCAGCGGCCTGTGATCCCAGCATCAGCAGGCTGGAGAAGGAGGATCCCAAGCTCCAGCTCAGCACAGACAACTTGGAGCCCCTCTTAGACATGCATAAATGAAGGCAGACAGTGTGGGAAGTGCTCAGGAAACAGGGTCAGTGTCCCATCCACGGCACCTTTAAAACAGTGCCAGGAAATGTATGCAGCTGTATTCTCTTTCACTGCCAAAGGTGCCAGTGCCTCTAAGTCCCATATAATGTTTCAGCCATCTATTTTACAGCTCAAAGTCCTTCTTTACATTCTTCAACACAGTACAGATGTTTATCCTTATCCTTAACATAGGGCTGTGGAATGCCTTGATTTATTAAGAATCAGAGAAGAGGGGCTGGGGATTTAGCTCAGCGGCATAAGCACCTGCCTTGCAAGCAGGCAGTCGTGAGTTCGATCCCTGGTACCGATAAAAAGGAAAAAGTCAAAAAAGAATCAGAGAAGAGGTGCAGGTGGGGGAGGGAGCTCAGGGTCTCCCCTGCTCCGGAAGCTTGCCCACCAGGCAGAACCTGCCCAGCAGAGCCCAGCCTGGCCCAGCGCTGCCCCACTGCCACCTCCCACACCTACCATCTTCCTCCTTGCAGAAGCCCTGATCCTGGCAGGGGGCCAGACGGGGATCAGCCTCACTGGGCTTGTGCCACTGTGGTCTGCCGCCCGGTGCCAAGGATGAGACCTCCGCGGGCCGCACCACCATGCATGAGCTCTGCAGCGCCACAGTGTACTCTGGGGGCCGGAGTGCTGGATTCGGAGGCACCTCGAAGTCTGTGATCAGGATGCCCAAGTAGCCAGGCGGGGTTGGCGGTGGCTCTGGGTACAGGCCCTCCTTCCACACTGCAAGGAAGCAGAACCTGGTTAGGTGAAGCAGGGGTTCCGCACCAGGCTGCAGCAGTCCAACCCCTGACACTGTTCGGCTGCTCATGCACAGCCAGCTTTGGGCTTCTGAGCACGGCTGCCTTGCAGAAGGGGACCCCTCGAGACCGGAGTGGACACAAACCCTAGTGCACCCAGGCTCATGCCTGCCCGGTGTGGCTCAGCTCCTGCGGGAAAGGCACTGGCGGCCTGGCCAGCCTCCGCCTCCACCATGCAGGTCAAAAAGGCTCAGCACTCCCAGGCCCGATGGCTCTCTCCGGAAACAGGACATGAAAACAAATTAGGGAAAGCACTATCTCCACCCCGAAGTGTCACCTGAACAACTAACACTGTAAGGTGTTTATGTTTCTGAAAATCCTTTTAATTAATATTGATTAAAGTTTTGTGTTGAGCTAACTCAAACGTTAGGAACTAAATCCTTTCTTCACAATAAAAATTCTGATACTCAGTTTTAACAGCAAGTGCTTGAGAAGGATGAACCTAAGACTGTTCAGCTGTCACCTCCTCTGTCATCCTGGAAGGGCATGAAAGGGACGCCTACCGAAGGCTCCGGACAAGGCAGTGCAGTGAGTTCGAGGCCAGCCTGGGTCACACAGAGTCTGAGACCTGAAGCCCAAGCCAGACCAAGGAGTTTCTCCACTAACAGAGGCGCTGCGTCCTGTAATGAGGATTCTTCAGCTCTTGCTCCTCATGGCCCTACACACTCCTCACCGTTCCCCTCCAAAGAGCTCAGGTCACCTTCTCCCCAGAAGGAAGCAGGCATTCCTTCTCTGTCCTCCCCATCCTCCCGCCACACTAACTCCATCGGGGAGGTTGGCCCATGGGAGCAGGTAGGTCCAGCATGCCAAGGGCAGAAACTCGAGACACAATGGGGCCTCCCTGTTGCACACCGGGGTGCCCAGGAAGGGCCAAGAAGCCAGCCTCAGCATGCTAAGGCCCTGCTCCAAGCAGAGCTAAAGAGAGTGGTAAAACAGTAGTTCCAAGTTTCAGTGAAAAGCAAGCACTTCCCTGGAGCGCCGCTATCTAGCTTGGTTATTTTCAGACTACGAGACACGACCCAAAACACCAGTAACCACAGGCACAGAGCCGGCTCAGCACTGCTACCACAGCCATGCCCCCCACCCACTTCTACGCTGGGTGCCCTGGGCAGCCTAGGACAGCGGAGTAGCATCGCATGCACGGGCGAGTGCGCATGCACAAAACCTGGGCTTGGGCAGGATGAGGTTGGAGGATTCCGCCCAGACTTACCGACCAGCCCTTTGGAAGCACTCGAGGTGGCAGCCCCGTGGGCTGGCACAGGGCCAGCCTTGGGCTCATCGTTGGGAGTGGGCGACAGGCAGCTGCCATTCTCGACCTCCAGGGACATGTCCTTGCTGCCCGTCCATTTGATGGTGCCTGTGTCCCATTCCGCATCTTCGCGCCAGTAGCCAGTGGGAGAGGCCCAGCTGGCCCGGGACTGTGCCTGCTCCAGGCTTGCTTTGCTTGGGTTCTGCCTGCTGCCCTTCTGGCCGCGCTCCACAAAAATCGAGTGGTCCAGGTGGCCACCATCGGCCCACAGCCCTGTGGGATCCCCGGGGTAATCACAGGGCACAGGCCCGAACAGTGGTGTCTCCCAGCTCCTCAGGTGCTGGATGGTCTGGATGTTGTTGTGCGAGTCACTGGAGCATGAGGTCCAGCTCCCATGGCCACTGTTGGCGGCATCCAGGGACGTGCAATAGCCCTGGTCCTGCGAGAGCACCATGGCTGTGGCAAACATGTCCTGGGCCAGGGCCATGGCTGCATAGGACCTGTGGGAAGGGCGGGACAGGAGGAGCTGCCTGTGAGCCTCTGCCTCACTCTGTGGTAGGGGACAGGGCAGTCCGCAGGTCCACGAGGGCCAGGAGGTCGGCATGGTTTGTGGAGAAGGAGCCACGAGTACTCAAGGAGGGTCCAGGATGGGGTTGTCCCATGGGGCCCTTGGCGTAGGCACCCAGAGGGCCAGGTGGTGAGGGGCAGCAGGGCGAGGAGGCGGGTGCAGGAAGGGCACCCACCCCAGGCTGTACTGGTCTGGCTCTGGCACTGTCTGCTGCTCTGCCCTGACAACGCCCAGGCCGATCTCCACCAGGCTCACGGAGTACTGCTGCCTCCGCTCCTCCTGCAGGGCCATGGGCACCGAGTCCAAGGAGGAGTTTCTGACCATACCGGACCTAGAGGAGATCTCGCTGTGGCCAGAGTCGGAGAAGTTGTCCACGCTCCCGCTGGGGGCCAGGGTGTAACCTGCAAACACATGGGAGACCGCACATGATGGAAGAAAAGCCAAGCAGAAATGCAGGACGCTCACTGGGAAGAGGACCCCTCATGCCTCAGAGTTCGCACTCCTGTCCTAACAAAGGAGCCCCTTACCTAAGGAGGAGCACCGGACTGCTTAGTGGAGATGCAGAAGTCAGGGCTGTGCCAAGCGAGTTCAGCGCCCGCTGTCCCCCACACCCTGTGGCCCAAGGTCACAGCACATGGAGACTGGGCACAGGGCGTCTGCTTATGCACCAATCAGCGTTAAAAAGTAGAAATCTCATTTGTTTTGTTTTTTTTGAGACAGGTCTGAGCATTCCAGGCTGGCCTCAAAGTTGCAGCGACCCTCCTGCCCCAGCCTTTTGATAGCTGGCACAGAGTGTAGGGGTGCACCACCACGCCATTAAAATCTGAATATTCCTTTTCCGCACTCATTTTTTTCTTTTCTGCATTACTAAGCATGTAATCATCTTAGTTAAAAATCATTTGATACAATCACAGACCATGTAAGTTTTTAAATGCCACTTACTACAAAATAAATAATATAGAATATGTAAATAAATCTGGAGGACCTAAATTTGCCAATTTAAGTGGCCCCCATTTCACTAAACTAGTAATTCCTGATTTATTTGTTCAAGGTCACATAGGGTCTTGCTAAGATTTAATGTGTTTACCTATGAAATGTCTATAATCACACTGCAAGTCTTGCCAGATGAAATTTAAATCTGTTCCTCAGAAGTCCATTCCAAAATCAATCTGTCTCTGGGAAAGAGGGTCGCGCACAGCGCCTGCCCCTCAGGCATTACGACCCGGGGACTCCAGTTCTGAAAGCTCCACCTGCCCTGGTCCCATGCCATCCTACAGCTGGTGGTGCTCACTTCCCGGGAAAGAAGAGGAACCAGCGAAGTCCAGCTGCCCAGAGTCAAAGTGCCTCAGCTGAGCGCCACTGCCACTGACCGCAGGACACAGGGACAGCGCAGTCGTAGCCCCCACCCAGATCTGGCACTCAGAGGCCACAGTGAAGCCTGGCCATACGTTAGCAGCTCCGGGACTCTACAAGTGACAATGGGGCACAGCCTTGGCTGCCACCACCCAAGGGGGAGGATCAAGGGCCAGGCCCATGGGTAGGGGAAGGGGACCAAGGCCCAGCCACCCCGACAGACACACACCAGGTGCTCGGCCCTACAGTCTTCCTCCCTGTACTAACGTCAGTCACACAAGAACGAATGTTTACATAGAAAGAATTCTTCCCACATTTAGGATTAATAAAAAGGCAAATGGATGTTCAAAAGGACTGTGTAACTGATAAATCTGACATACTGTAATATTAAAAAGAAATACAAAAATTCTTCCCAATGCTTAAAATGAGGGAAGGCCCCTGACTGTGAAGGCACCCTGAGCAGATTAAAACCTGTGAAATCAGCAAGAAATTCTATGACTGCAGAGGGCAGCGCCTAAGCCCACCACTGCAGCCCTACCTTTCCTGGGCGAGCTCTGCGGGGATGTGGGTGAAGACAAGAGCTTGGAGGACGCGCTGGACAGCATGTCCTCCGCCTGCTTTGGGTGGCGCTCCAGACTGCCTTCTTCAGACAGCGAGAGGATCTTCTTTAAAGCTTGCGGAGAGTTTATGCCTACAAAAATAAGCAAAGAACTAAAAACTTCTAACAACTAAAGGGCTGTATTGAAACTCAGTGCTACTGTAAGGTTCCACATATTTACAACTGGATATTCCTTGTACCGTCACGATATGAGAACAGGTGGAGGAGGCAGAGATGCCTGTGCTCAGACTTCCGATTCCCAGGGCCAAGAGGTGGCTGTGGATGTTTTAAATTCCAAACCTCTGACACCATAACCATGTGCTTGGCAACAACCAAGATTAAGTGGACAATATGTGAACATCTGAATTCGGGGCTCAGTGGGGTCACTTCAACTCCAGCTTGGGTTGGAAGCAGGTATTTGCTACTACGGGGCAGTTCAGCTCTGGGGAAAGGGGAACACCAGGAGAAAAGCAGAGGGCCCAGAGACACGGAGCGGATGGGGGAGGCAGGATACAGCACCAAGGGTCCTCATCAGTAATGTACTCAGTCCACAGAGGAAGAGGAAACTAGCTGCCTCTTCCACAGAAGCCAGGAGGGCGGCTCCCAGGGTGCATGGGCCTGGCCGGGAAGGGTGCGTGGGTAGACACAAAGTGACACCTTGATTATTCTCCAGGAGTATGGGAGACACTTTACAAAGCTTCTCATAGTACTATGGGGCATCCTCAAACTCCCTCAGAGCTGACAAGCAGAGAGATTTCCAGAAAGGAAGAACAGCCCCAAACCATGTCCCCTTCCTGCCAGCATGCCATCTCATGTAAGCAGCCTTCTGCACTCTACACGGCGTCTCTGGGGAAGAAGCGATACTATCAGGCACAGCGGTGTGAAAACTCCAAGTGCACCAAAGCTACAGGCCAGCAGGCAGTCGCCTCAGGCTGGCAGGGCCTCAGCAGAGTGTCAGCACTTCACACATGGCGCCTTCCGCACAGAGGGGCAGGGTACCTCGACCACACTCCTCCGAGCCGCCTCAGGGAGGATGGAGGTCAGCCAACAGCGCCCAGCACAGAGACCGAGGGACCTCACCCAAGGCCCAGCGCGTCTAAGCCAGCCTGCTGTACCCTGGTAAAAACATTCCTTATTTCTGTTCAGGTTACTTCCTTCCACAGACAGGCAGAAGAAATAGTGGGCACACTTTATGAAAGCTTGTTCTGTGGTGCATCTATTTGAGAAGGGTAAACCAATGAATGCGCTGTTTTTAAGGAAAAAGATGAGGTATAATTTCATTAACCTGCGAGCTCTGTCCGTATTTCCAGTGCCTGAAACTTGCAGAAGTGGGAGCTCGGTGAGGCAGAGCTGTGCCCACGGCCGGCATGCCTGCAGGCAGGCTCCGAGGCCTGCTACTGACATGGCTGAAGCCAGCTCGGTTCGAGGCACTGACCTGAGAAACACTCAGGCACAGAGCCGGCTCACCACTGCTACCACAGCCGTGTCCCCCACCCACTTCCACGCTGGGTGCCCTGGGCAGCCTAGGACAGCAGAGCAGCATCTCGAGGGCACATGCGCATGCACACAACCTGGGCTTGGGAGGATGAGGTCTGAGGAGTCCCCCCAGACTTACCGACGAGCCCCTTGGTAGCGCTCGAGGTGGCCACCCTGAGGACTGGCACAGGGCCAGCCTTGGGCTCCTCTGTGGGCGCGGGCGCCAGGCTGCTGCCATTCTCGGCCTCAAGGGACATGTCCTTGCAGCCAGTGGGAGAGGCCCAGCGGGCCCTGGACTGCGCCTGCTCCAGGCTTTCTTCGATTGGGATCTGTCTGTCGCCCTTCTGGCCATCCTCGGCAAAAATCAAGTGGTCCAGGTGGCCCCTGCTGGCCCAGGGCCCCATGGGGTCCCCGGGGTAATCGCAGAGCACAGGCCCGAACAGTGGGGTCTCCCAGCTCCTCAGGTGCTGGATGGTCTGGATGTTGTTGTGCGAGTCACTGGAGCATGAGGTCCAGCTCCCATGGCCACTGTTGGCGGCATCCAGGGACGTGCAATAGCCCTGGTCCTGCGAGAGCACCATGGCTGTGGCAAACACGTCCTGGGCCAGGGCCATGGCTGCATAGGACCTGTGGGGAGGGCGGGACAGGAGGAGCTGACTGTGAGCCTCTGCCTCACTCTGTGGTAGGGGACAGGGCAGTCCGCAGGTCCACGAGGGCCAGGAGGTCGGCATGGTTTGTGGAGAAGGAGCCACGAGTACTCAAGGAGGGTCCAGGATGGGGTTGTCCCATGGGGCCCTTGGCGCGGGCACCCACAGGGCCAGGTGGTGAGGGGCAGCAGGGCGAGGAGGCGGGTGCAGGAAGGGCACCCACCCCAGGCTGTACTGGTCTGGCTCTAGCACTGTCTGCTGCTCTGCCCTGACAACGCCCAGGCCGATCTCCACCAGGCTCACGGAGTGCTGCTGCCTCCGCTCCTCCTGCAGGGCCATGGGCACCGAGTCCAAGGAGGAGTTTCTGACCATACCGGACCTAGAGGAGATCTCGCTGTGGCCAGAGTCGGAGAAGTTGTCCACGCTCCAGCTGGGGGCCAGGGTGTAACCTGCAAACACATAGGAGACCTCACATGATGGAAGAAAAGCCAAGCAGAAATGCAGGACGCTCACTGGGAAGGGGACCCCTCATGCCTCAGAGTTCGCACTCCTGTCCTAACAAAGGAGCCCCTTACCTAAGGAGGAGCACCGGACTGCTTAGTGGAGATACAGAAGTCAGGGCTGTGCCAAGCGAGCTCAGCGCCCGCTGTCCCCCACACCCTGTGGCCCAAGGTCACAGCACATGGAGGCTGGGCACAGGGCGTCTGCTTATGCACCAATCAGCGTTAAAAAGTAGAAATCTCATTTGTTTTGTTTTTTTTGAGACAGGGTCTGAGCATTCCAGGCTGGCCTCAAAGTTGCAGCGACCCTCCTGCCCCAGCCTTTTGATAGCTGGCACAGAGTGTAGGGGTGCACCACCACGCCATTAAAATCTGAATATTCCTTTTCCGCACTCATTTTTTTCTTTTCTGCATTACTAAGCATGTAATCATCTTAGTTCAAAATCATTTGATACAATCACAGACCATGTAAGTTTTTAAATGCCACTTACTACAAAATAAATAATATAGAATATGTAAATAAATCTGGAGGACCTAAATTTGCCAATTTAAGTGGCCCCCATTTCACTAAACTAGTAATTCCTGATTTATTTGTTCAAGGTCA